GATGTGTGGCTTTTCTGAATTGGATCGGATGTATGAAATCCTTTTCTTTTTGTATTTTTTTTTTGTAAGTTATCCCCTGTAGGGTTTATTTTCTGTTGTTTCCTTTGATGCTATAATGAATGGGTGATAGTTGAATACATATGGTGTAGGCTGCATGTTGTTGTTATGCAATACAATAAAATACCTTGAAATATAGAGTAAATATGAAAACACAAACCAACATGTTCTCACCAGTAAAAGGTTATCCCATTTTGTCGGAAATTTAATCTTGGTGTTTTTTGCAAGCAGAACCGACAGGTCACGTGATCATAACCACGATCTGAAAAACCACTTTATTCTAATTTGTATTATTGTTGTAAGAAGCATTAATAGATACAGTCGGTTGGTCTGGGAACGCCCCCGGGAACGCCCCGTCACGTGGTGTGAATTTAGCCCGTGGGGGAAAACATTGCCTTGGCGCTCATTGAAATACATGGGGCAATCATGCCGAAGAGTTGCGGTGTCGTTTTCTTTACCACCAATAAACAAACAAATTATAAATTGAAGTTCTACAGCCTTTCTTACATACATACAGAACCGGATAGGAGGACAAAATGGCAAAATCAATCATATCTTATTAGATTACTGTGTGAGTAGAGGTCCGTGTGATATAGTAGTAGATGTTTAACTCGTATTAGGCAGTGGGCCAGATTTGTCTGACTTTACATCCCTTACGAAAAAGAACTATAGTAATCCTATGGCTATTAGTATTCTATAGTAGTGTATAATACTTCTGTGATGTTCTTTAATACCTATACTTCTAGGCTATATGTCCCAAAATACTATAGTATTCCTATAGGATTAACGTTACTATAATATTTTGTCCTAAAATACTACAAGATTCCTTTAGTTGTTTTTCATAAGGGATGTTATTAGCGTTATCAGCTGAAGGTTATCAGACTGCAGTCTGTGAGAATTCGGATAACTGTCAGCAAAGTCCCTCTGCAACTTCGTAGCGACTACTAATGATCACCGTTTTACAAAAGGATTAATAGTTTGGAGTGAAGCATACGTACAGTTGGTAAGTGACATGGTTTTATGGACTTATAGTAACTTATACGCAAGTTGATTGAGTTACAGGCTTGTGTTGCCGGTAGCTTCCGCGATGTCTTACCTGAAGATTCAACCAGATATAATAGTCTGGAAACGACACCTCCGGCCATTTGGTTGGGTCATTGACCCAGGTTTTAATTAAATAAGGGCAATCATAACCTATTACAGTTAATTTTGCAATGTACCGTTGCCGGTCGGCAGGCATAAATGACTCGCAATATGACATTTTTGTCATTCAAATACATAGGATAGTCGCGCTGCTTTCCCCCACACCGACCACGCCCCCCAACTATGACGCGTTGCCGACTGTATCTATAAGAGCATATCCATTTGTCTTACTTTTTTCTCTTATTAATCATATGACAATGAATTGGCCTTAAGCAAAGCTGCACTACTTCCTGAACTTAAGCCAGCTCCTTGTTTCCTGTCTGCCATTATTGGTCAAATTGATTGATTCAGGTGTGCCTGACCTCAGTAGTCATGGCAACAATAATCAGACACACCTGAATTAATCAAGTTTGGCCAATAATAGCAGACAGGAAACAAGAGGTGCGTTCCATTCAACCGTAAGTGGACTGCGAAGTGGACTTCACAGGGTATTTTGCCATCTTAAGTGAGATTCCAATTCGAAGGGAACGAACATGTTCAGTTCGAAGGGCACTACAAACGGCATAGGGAATAAGGGAACATTGATACATCACTTTACAGGAAGTCAATGAAGTCCACTTCAACTGATATAGGCCTACCGTGTTCAGGGAGTAGGGAGCAGTGAACACTTATAGGGACCCTGTCGAATGGAACGCACCTAAGTAGCTGGCTTAAGTTCAGGAAGTAGTGCAGCTGTGCATAAAGTCAATTAAGCCTGGAGTTCATTGTAAACGACTGTAATGTTGTTTTTTAATAGTCACTGTTGCTTTGGTTTTGCAAGTCTATTTTTTTTTTTTTTTTTTTGCACATACAACATCAGTATCATTTGTTTGCAGTTTAAAGAAAGAGAAGAAAAACCGAATGCGTCGTCGAGAGCATTCAGAAAGCATCTGTTTTTGAACATCAGCAGACATCAGGAGATAATCATGGCTAATAACTTCATTTTCTGCACGGTGGTCATAAGGACTTTGATGCATTATTCCGAGACCTTGATTTACTCAGTTTGACTTTTCAAAGGAATACTGTGAGACTCTGGCTCAATAAAACACTCACAAAAGGCGATTAGGGATGTTAAATGTCAATTTGCTTTAATGAAAACAATATGAACCATGAAAACAGGGCTTTTCCTCATAACTGGTTTAATATGCATCACGTGTTGTGGCAGGAGAACAGAGGATTTCCATCGCTGATAAATCGCCTTTATTTGCATGGGCAACGATTAATCGCGTCCAAAATAAAAGTTTGTGTTACATATTATGTAAACACAAACCTTTATTTTGTATCCATTTTCATTTCTTACTCTTTATATCAGCTTCTTAAATGATGTTATGATATGTGTGTGCACTCACTGCACTGTGTATAATTATTTTGTGTATATATAAACACACAACGCATTCATGTATATAAGAAATATTGTATACTATATATATATATATATATAAAACATATAAATATAAAATATTTAATATATAAATAAAAAAATCTTAAATATATACAACATGCATGTGTGTGTATTTATACAAAATAATTATACACAGTACACAGACTTATATTATGTAAACACAAACTTTTATTTTGGTTGTGATTAATTATTGCACAGCATTTTTTATTTTAATACTGTTTGAAGAATACCTTTGCATTTTAATTTCTTCCTCTTTATTGTCTAATATATCAGCTTCTTACGAGTCAAAAATAAAAGCTAATTTCTATTAGTGCATCTCTGTGATTGCAAATTATTTTTTGCCAGAATATTGTCAGAGGGAAATATCTGTATGTGTTTCTGCCAACCTTCTCTCGCTTCTTTGAGATGAAAGACCAAAGTCTCTGATGAGTTTGCATTTGGAGCATGAACTAAGCCTTATGAAAAGCATGAAATTATTAAAGGAGCAGCGCTTAATTACTGAAGCGGCACGATTAAGAAGTGTGTGTGGAAGCTCTCAGCAGCCTGACACACCATATCATCCTTTAAAGAGGCAGAAACGTGCACTGCTAAACATTTCAGTGTGAAATTGTGCATAATTGCATTACTTTTAGCCAACAAGTCCTCCAATTTATACGACCATAATGGTCGTTTGCACCTTTCCTCAAATACGACCCATTGCGTCGTTTCCTAAAATAGTGCCCCTAAAGGCGGCGGGAGATATGCCACACAGAGTCGCCTCGATGCATTGTGGGGTTTCTACTTGATGCGGGAGATAATTGATGCTAATCAAGGTAAGTTGGGCTATTTTATCAGCGAACTTTGATAGCTAATATAATTTTAGAACAAAATAATATGCGAGGCGCTTTGTGTTGTTTCATCTTGCTTTGTGGTGATTAATGTTAACGTTAGTTGGAACTTGTTACAGGTTTTTACTTGGGAATAACGTATGAAATATAAAACAATATGAAACATCCGAAAGTAATTGGAAAAGTTAGACATCATACGTGACATTAATATTGGCTTTTATCGATATCTATCTTAACAAGATTCGAAATCGATCGTTTACTGTTACTGGACAAATATTATGTCGTCTATTCAATAATTTAGGCCTATTGAATGTAACGTTAGCCTACGTCGCGTTTCAAACTAACTTTAAGTTATAAGGGTCGAGATTGTTCTCATTAAACATGTTTAAATCATTTGAGCACGTCACATCAGCATTTTAAAGTTAATATTTTTTTGTGAAATTTTTAAACGTTGTGTGTAAGGGACCGTGTAAAAAGTCTACACATTTTGTTAAAACGTTCATAAGTTTCCATATTTCGTTAATCAGACTCGATTAACGTTACCCAAATACTATTTTTAAAGTATTTAAAATGTGAATTACGTTTCAGTTCATTATTAGTTTACGTACGAGTAATATTCCAGATTATATATTTCCAGAAATATCCAATTATGGAAATTAATAATTAAATACTGAAATATAGCCTAATCATAATAATAAATAATATTATTATTAATGCATATTCACATTTAATACAATTTTGTAATGGTTATTTAAATTGAAAGTATTATTTTTTTTTATAAAATATTGGAATTATGTATAATAATAAATATTATGGAATTGACCATAATATTTATATATGGAAAAACTTTTAACACTTCTTCAGAATTAGCAGGATAATAATAAAAAGTGAACAAAAATAATATGACCAATATTCATTGTAGGCTACTATATAGTACGTTGTGCTATTTTTCTCTGATTTCTTCATAGTGTAAAGCCAGGAACATAATAAACAAGACTAGAGGACAGGCAACAATTGGTGATTAACAAAAGGAGTCTGATGTTGATTTCTCACTTTTCACTTAAGCATGATCATATTATATTTACCAACACAGTGCCTCAGTGAAAGGGAATATTAAACTGAGGGCAGGGTTTTACTTTAGCGCTCCCCTCATCTCCACCTCGGTTTGGAACACCATTCCAGACTGGAAGTAACTTTTTGGATTTTGATTAAAGAACACCACGGCAGACTTTTTTTTTCTGTGCATTAACTTGCATGGATTAATTGTTCACCACAAATTTAAAAATATGCACTACTAACAAAGTAAATAGGGTCAATTTTGATTTCATGTCAACTTTAAGTTTAACTTTAAAACAATTTTCAAAACCAGGTTCTGAAAAGCATTATACTGTTGCAGTTTTCTTTAAATGTTTTTAAAGTTAGGTCACTGTGGTGACAATATTTTCTGAGACTGAATCTTGTCAACATAGTATAAATATTATATATATATATATATATATATATTATCCCCCCCCCCCCCCCCATAACACATATCATTTTTTGTTTGTTTTTTTACAGATGCCTACTCTAAAGGACTGCAACACATGTGGAAAAAAAATTGGAGTTGCAAGCAAAACATGTCCACACTGCAATGCCAAGCAGCCATACAAGAAAAGTCTTGAAAAAAGAAAAGAAAAGATTTCCCTTGAATGGAGGAACCGCCAAAAGAAAAACAGCAGTGTAAACAAAGTTTACGATGCAACAAATCTACTGGTAGGTTTATCTTTCAGATGTTAGTCCTAAAATAGTAAGTTACACATGCATTTGTTATATTTATATACAGCAATTCGGCAATTCTTTTTTCAGTGCAATAAAGAACATTAAATTTGAAGTTTGTGCATAACATTAGAAAGCATAGTAACAAAATAATTTGTATAGACCAGGGATGTCCAAACTCGGTCCCAGAGGGTCAGTGTCTTGCATTGTTTAGCTCCAACTTCGGGTTCAGGTGTGTTCAAGTGGGTTGGCGTTAAAAGTGGCCCTGCAGAAGCAGGATTGAACACCCCTGGAATAGAATAAAAAGTACTATAGTATCACAATAACTAAAAACCCATTCAAAATAATTTCAAATGCATAGACAAGAAGCCAGAACTTGAAAAGGAACATTTTTATATTTGAATCATATTAAATATAAACTACAGCTGTCAAATCTAAAATTAAAGTTTGTATTTATATAATATTGTGCACACACACACACTTTATTCGATTTGATAGCCCAAATATAAATGTGTTAACTGTCTCTGAACTCAGTAAATTCAAATAGTTTACTCTCTCTGTCTCTCTCTGTCTCTCTCTGTCTCTGTCTCTCTCTCTCTCTCTCTCTCTCTCTCTCTCTCTCTCTCTCTCTCTCTCTCTGTGTGTGTGTGTGTGTGTGTGCGAACTTGTAGTTATTGCTATGTAGTTATAATATTCTCAGTTTTATGATTGTCTCAATTTCATTCCAGCTCCACAAGTGGGACCTTTTAGAGAGGTTCCCAATCCTTCTCCTTGCCAGGAGAACCTCAAATGGTTTTTCTGCTGAGTGCTTCTGTCCATGGAATATGGACACAGAAGATACTCAGGATGCTTTTCTTACTATAAAGAGGTTGTATGAAAGTCTTCTTAATGGTAATAAACACAAATGTGCAACGCATGCAAAATTTTCACATATTTTATTGTTTTTTAGTGCATCCTTAATTGATTTGAGAATAAATTTGAAAAGACAGTAGTAAAAGGTTTTATCCACAGTTTCTCACCTTAGGTTTTAAAAAATGTATATAAAAATAATATTCCCAACCTTTTTACATAGGGGAAATTACATAAGAAAACTTGAGCGGCATGTTATTTGATAATGTCAAACTGATATTACAATAATAAATACAACTCATACGTTAAATTCAATGTAATAATAATAAAATCTACAACACCATAATAAAACTTTGTTTGTTTTTGCTGAATGTTATTAAATTATTATTATTCTCATGTCCACATCACAGTTTCTTTTTTCCAACAGTGGCTATTGCAGATAAAGAAGCGAGCAGCACAGGGGAGAGTTCTGCCATAAACAGCTCACAGACAGAGACTCCACCAGCAGACCCATCAGAGTCCACACCTCTGCTCACCTGTAATGGTAAAATGTCTCATTCAATAGAACTGACATGTTCTTGTACAGCAAACAGTTTTGTGGTCTTATCAACTGTCACGCACCAAATAATAGTATCTGTCCAAATGCAGACCCTAAGAGTTACACTCATTACACCTATTTCACAAAATACAACAAATATATGTTGTTTAATTCTACAATTTCTGTAAATGGACTTAGTGGTGTATACTTTCTGGACATGGTGGTCAATCAATTTCACACCAACACCATGTATGTCTTTGTGTGGCTGGAATACACTACATGGCTTTTGCCCATATTTTTGCCTTGATTCAGAAATCGATTCTAGTTGCCGAAAGTCAGAGCCAGCCTACACATTATAGGCAGTAAGACTTCACAGAAAAACAAGTATTGTATGATAGCCACAGACTTATCTTTATTTATTTTTTAGCTTCATTCTATGATTCCATCAAGGTAAAGGATATCAAACATGTTACACTTTCCCCCTGTTTCACAGACAAGGCTTAAAGGGTTAGGGTTAGTTCACCCAAAAATGAAAATTCTGTCAGTATTTACTCGCCCTCATGTTGTTCCAAACCTCTATGTGTTTATTTGTTCTGCTGAACACAAAGGAAGATATTTGGAAGAATGTTTTAATCAAACAGATCTCATTCCCTATTGACCTAGTCACACACATAGAGGTTTGGAACAACTTGAGGGTGAGTAAACAATAACAGAATTTTCATTTTTGGGTGAACTAACCCTTTAAGCTAGTCCTAGAATAAAATGCATGTTTGAGCTGTTTTAACTTCTTTAACTTTTCTAGGGCACATTTATAAGTTACTTAAATGTCCTAATTGAACCAAGGCTTAATCCTGGCTTAATCTAAACCCTGCCGGTGAAACCGGGGCATATTGTTTTATTTGGTCATGTGTTTGCTAAGTGATGACGCACATATATTTGAGTTTATTGTGCCCAGAACAGAGGCTACAAGTTGTGTAGTGTATTCCAGACTTTAAATTTATTTTTCTTTTAAATGTTTTGATTACAGGAGCGTATGCAAAGGTTCATATCACAATTTTATTTTTCCAACAGTGGCTATTGCAGATAAAGAAGCGAGCAGCACGAGAGACAGTTCTGCCATAAACAGCTCGCAGACAGAGACTCCACCAGCAGACCCAGCATCAGAGTCCACACCTCTGCTCAGCCCTGAGTCTGACACTCTTTTACTTCCTCCTGCATCTGCCACCTTGGCTTCTCTTGTTTCGATCACCTCCTTGACATCTCCTAGGTCTTTATCCATTGCTCATCCAGTCTCCCCCCTGACTCATCCCGTTTCTGTCTCCTCTCAGTCTAGTAGTCTTTTATCTTCTTCTCTGTCTTCTCCTCTGCCACCAACCGCTACCCTTTCTACCTGTTCTAAACTGTCCACTGAGCTAGGCAGTCCAGGCCCAGTCTCTTCCTCACGAAAAAAAAGACAAATAAAGAGGAAAGCAGATCATGAAGGTATGTGTGGATTTGTTGATTTTTCTTTTGACATATGAATCAAAGCTACAGTAGGTTTGATAACAGTTTTATTGCTGAAAGAACAGGCCTTTCTCATTGTTTTTTGAAAAGGAATGGGTTAGAATTCTACAAATGTACATGTTGTAATATTTTCTTTTGCACACATTGCAACATATTTATAGCAAGCTATTTAGTGTTATGACCATACAGTGCCTAAGCCCTCCTGTTGATCTGAGTGCTTCTATTGTTCTCCTCATTTGTATAAGGATTTTAATAAGAAATATTTTACTTCACAATTTAATTTTTGCAAATTAAAATCTTGACCATAGCAATGGTTGTGTGACAAAAATAAAAACTGCTGTTTCATATTTTAAAAAATTTTATTGATAAAATAGAGATAAAATTATTGAATTATTTCAAATATTATTATTATTATTATTAAATATTATTTATTATGCAAATTATTATAGACGTAGTCCTTCTAACTGTTAATTTCCTTTGAATTTAATGTTGTATTTTCCATTCATCAGAAGTATGATTGTAACTTCATGTGTTGTAAGTAAATGTCATTAACATTAATCCATGGTTCTTTCTGTTTCTGCTTTCTGTCTTCTCCTCTGCCACCAACCGCTACCCTTTCTACCTGTTCTAAACTGTCCACTGAGCTAGGCAGTCCAGGCCCAGTCTCTTCCTCACGAAAAAAAAGACAAATAAAGAGGAAAGCAGATCATGAAGGTATGTGTGGATTTGTTGATTTTTCTCTTGACATATGAATCAAAGCTAGGTTGATCACAGTTTTATTGCTGAAAGAACAGGATTTTCTCATTGTTTTTTGAAAAGGAATGGATGATAATTCTACAATATTGTAATATTTTCTTTTGTACACATTGAAACATATTTATAGCAAGCTATTTGGTGTTATGACCGTACCTAAGCCCTCCTGTTGATCTGAGTGCTTCTATTGTTCTCCTCATTTGTAAATTGCTTTGAATAAAAGCGTCTGCGAAATTATTTAATATAAAAAATATATATAATTAAGAAAAATACATTTAGTATCCATCTTATTTTGTACCATTGGAAGTAAGATATTTTCTATTTTTTATTGGAAGTAAGCTATTTGCTATTTTTTAGAATGTGCAAGCCTTTTTTACCATGTAAAGGTTAATGAATAGAAGGATTACAAAGTGAAGTACATGTGCTATGAACCAGTTTGTTTGGTTATGATAATAAAATGAAAATGTAAAAAATAAAAATAAAATGTCTTTTGAAATTGAAAGCTTGTACAGCTTTATTTAATTAATCAATTTTAATAAATTGAAAGCATATTATTCTGGAAGTCAAACACATTGAATGAACAAATGCCGTGGCACTCTTAACTTTTGTAAGTTATATATATATATGTGTGTGTGTGTGTGTGTGTGTGTGTGTGTGTGCATTTGCATATATATGTAAAGAATTTATGTGTTGTTTTGACCATTCCATGTGTTCATACAAATCATGAAATGAAGTGTCCCAACAGTGTTTAAAAAACATGAATCTAAGATGTAACTGCAGGAATAATAATTACACCTCGTAACGAGTGACTACTCTATCATGAGCATGTGAGCATTGTAAAAAGACAGTCTCCAAACAGTAAAATCAGTAACTTAAACAAAAAAGACAAAAACACACAAGTGTGGTGTGTAATGGAAATTGCCATGTCTAAAAAAGTGTCAATGCCATTTTACTGTAACATCAATGAAAACTGTCCTGTTTATATGTTTACACTAAGCTGCAATTTTGATTTTCCTTTTAAAAAATTGCTTTATCCATGACCCACATGGTAATGTTTAGAAGATGTTTGTTGAACTTTTTATTTTACTTATGTCTGTTCCTAATTATAACCATATTTTATTTTATTTTCAGAATGCCCCATGCATAAAGAATCAACCAGTTTCCCTTACAAAAAAATTTTGAGGAAAAGAATCAGGGAGGTTTGTTTCAAAAAACATTTTAAAATCCTGAAATAATGAACAAACAAACAAAAAAAGTTTAGGTATTCATATAATTCATGTTATAATTTTTTAACCGTGGATTTTAATAAGAAATATTTTACTTCACTATTTAATTTGTGCAAATTAAAACTTGACCATAGCAATGGTTGTGTAACAAAAATAAAAACTGCTGTTCCATATTTAAAAAAAATTGTATTGATAATATAGAAATAAAATTATTGAATTATTTCAAATATTATTATTATTAAATATTATTTATTATGTTTATTATGATAGACATAGTCCCTCTAACTATTAATTTCCTTTGAATTTAATGTTGTATTCACCGTTCAGCAGAAGTATGATTGTAACTTCATGTGTTGTAAGTAAATGTCATTAACATTAACCCTTGTTTCTTTCTGTTTCTGCTAAGGGTCATGCGGAGGTGTTGGTGCAGTGGCATCCTTGCTCTGGATGGTATGTATATTATTTGAAGTTTATTGTACTTAGAAAATTGACAGAACTAACAAAAATATAAGCAGAGAACAATTAATAAACATTACATAAACATTTATTCAGTTTTAACTAAAGTTGCAGTTTGATCAGGACTTCAGACTTCAATCTAATGTCATTTGAAATGTGGTGTGCTTTTAATTTTTATCTATTCTTTAATGCTTTCATCCACTCATAGTTTCAAGTATTTACTTTTTTATCAAGCCTTTGTTGAGAACTGCATTTTTGGTTTTGTTTTTGTCTTAAACAATGAGATTATAATTGATTGTGAACACTCAATCAAACGAGTAAAAAATGTGACACATTGTGACTAGTGTGAATAATTAAATCCTCTGCTGAATGCATATTTTCAAACAATTATATTATATAATATACAAAATACATTATATGCATTTCATAACTGAACTACATCTTATTGTACAGAACCAAGACAGTATTTATGTTCCAGTAATGAACATTGTGACTTTTTGCTGTTTTACAGTGGGAAAAAATGGAAAAATTCCTGGGAGCCAAGAGAAAATTTTCAAAGTCCATCCTGAAGATGTGTGTGTGTGTGTGTGTGTGTGTGTGTGTGTGTGTGTGTGTGTGTGTGTGTGTGTGTGTGTGTGTGTGTGTGTGTGTGTGTGTGTGTGTGTGTGTGTGTGTGTGTGTGTGTGTGTGTGTGTGTGTGTGTGTGTGTGTGCGCGCGCGCGCGCGCGTGTGTGTGTGTGTGTGCGCGTGTGTGTGTGTGTGTGTGTTTGTGTTCCAATGTATTGTTTGTTGCTAGGTTGTAAGATGCCTTGAGTTACACTTTGTCTTTCAGTGTTAAGCCATTGATTCTTGTGTTCTGTTTCTCAAAACTTGTTATTGGACTGAGAGATCTAATGGAAAACCTCTGTCTTTGCTACATTTAAAAGCAATAAATAGCAGAATTTATCAAATTAATCATGATTTTGTGTGCCTCTGGTTCTTTTCCATGGAGTCCCACCCTTTGCTGACACACACACTAGTATTCCTATCATAATGGGGGCATTCCATAGACAGAATGGTTTTTATTCTGTTCAAACACCAGACCTACCCCTCACAGAAAACATTCTTGCATTTTTAAAATACATAATAAATCTGTATGATAGGAAAACCAGTACACATACGCACACACAAACAATCTCTATCTCACACACACAGACACACACTCTCATACAGACACTCTCACACAGACACACATTCTTTCACACATGCACACACACACTGACACAGATGCTCTCTCTCACACACAACGATCGAATGTTCCTTATTACCCTAACCTACCTATCCATCTATAAACTGGATTTTTTTACAGAAGTAAAATCAAAGTCCTTTCAGGCAAGTCATGCCACTCGGCCGCCATCTTAGCAACGCCTCCGGGCAGCTATTTCGGACTTAACAAGACCAGGCTCCAATCTAAATGAATGGGCAGTCAGAACTGCACTTTCACTGGCAAACATTAACAATTTTTTTTTATACATATAAACTGCATGTATAGAAGCAGCAGTAAAATATGATAAAAATCGCTGAAAAAGTTTGATGACTTTGGCCCAAAATAAGGTTTAAAACGCCGTTTTCCCACAGGTTGTACTTTTACTGCGCATGCGTTCTCTAGCTCTCTGTCACGCGCGCGCTGCACAGTTTGAAACACAGTATGTGCGCGCTCTAGCTCGCTCGCTCTAGATTCCTGGAGATTTGAACTAATTTGCGGGCATCAGCGAGCCTCTATCAATCTGCAGGAGGAGACACCCGGAACTTCTGGGAGACTTGTGATGTCTGATATTTATACAACACACATACACTGCATATCAAATCTGCCGCCTTTTCAAACAATAACGTGATTTAAATGTTTCCCGGCTTGACCGTTAAAAGCAGACGATTGGCTGTCCAGCGGGAGGGGCGGGCATTTGCATATAACCGCCACCTTTGGTGTTACAGGTTTTTCCCTATACATTTGTATTAAGGACTGAGGAAGTGGCATGTCTCTATATAAATAGTCTCTGGTAAAATCCTGCAACACGATTATATATGCTCACACACACTCTCAAACACACACACACACACACACACACAATCTCTCTCAGACACAGACATACACTCTCTCAAACACAAAGACACTCTCACAGACACTCTCTGTCACACATGCACATACAGACACAGAAGTAAAATACCTGCAACACGATTCACAGTGATTATATTTGCATATGCTCACACACACTCTCTCAAACACACACACTCTCACACACAAACACTCTCAAACACACACACACACACTCTTAAACACACACAATATCTCTCAGACACAGACATACACTATCTAAAACACACAGACACACACACTCTCTCTCACACACACTCTCACAGACACTCTCTTTCACACATGCACACACAGACTCTCTCACACAGACACAGATGCTCTCACTCACACACACACACACAACGAATGTCCCTGACCCCTAAGACTAACCCTGACCCTAACCCTAACCTACAGTACCATCTATAAACAGGATTTTTTGCATAAGTAAAATCATACAACAGAGTGATTCACAGGGATTATATTTGCATATGCTCTCTCTCTCTCTCTCTCTCTCTCTCTCTCTCTCTCTCTCTCTCTCTCTCTCACACACACACACACACACACACACACACACACACACACACACACAACGAATGTCCCTGACCCCTAAGACTAACCCTAACCCTAACCCTAACCCTAACCCTAACCTACAGTACCATCTATAAACAGGATTTTGTGCATAAGTAAAATCATACAACAGAGTGATTCACAGGGATTATATTTGCATATGCTCTCTCTCTCTCTCTCTCTCTCTCTCTCTCTCTCTCTCTCTCTCTCTCTCTCTCTCTCTCTCTCTCTCTCTCTCTCTCACACACACACACACACACACAACGAATGTCCCTGACCCTAAGACTAACCCTAACCCTAACCTAACAGTACCATCTATAAACAGGATTTTTTGCATAAGTAAAATCATACAACAGAGTGATTCACAGGGATTACATTTGCATATGCTCTCTCTCTCTCTCTCTCTCTCTCTCTCTCTCTCACACACACACACACACACACACACACACACACACACACACACACACACACACACACACATACCTACTTAACCACAATGTGAGGACGTATGACTGGGAACCCTACCTTTAGGGACACCCCTTTCTGAAGGGTCTAGAGACAAAAGAAAAACATGACTGCACTCCTGGAGAAGCTGTCATCACACTTATCACTTGATTTTATCAATAAAAGCCTTCCTTAAAGACCTGACATTTTGCCTTCACTTTGGGGACAGTATTTTTTATGTCCATTTTGGGGACATTAAACACAAACTCTGGTCAAGTCATACTTTGAGGACCATGGTGATACACAAACTCTGGTCAAGTCATACTTTGAGGACCATGGTGATACACAAACTCTGGTTAAGGTATAATATCAGGACTATGTTGAGATATTATATTTTATTTAGTGAGTAAACTGTTTTTTGTTTTGTTTTTCATTTCGTCAAGATCATTGTAAATGGGTAGCCAACATTTTTGTCTGAATTGTATCTAGGGCTGTGCAATTAATCAAATTTCGATTTCAATTTTGATTTTGGTTCCCAACGATCTCCAAAATAGCACAATCGAGAAAAAACGATTATTTTGCCATCCACGTTCTGTTTTGAAAGGACACTATAATTTTGTGTTCTGAATGACGCGCACATCCGCCCTTCCCGAAGCCATAAACTCGCTCAGCCTACAGTCATCAATTGCAAGCACAATAAACTTCACAATAACAATTGGCTAATTTAATATCTAATGGAGTGAGACCATCTCGAGCTGACGCGATCTTTGTCTGCACGACCACTGCAGCGCGAGCGCACGTGACCTGATGATTTTTTCCATAATCGAGCAGCCCTAATTGTATCTTGAGATCAAGGGTCTTTGGCTGCTCAGTTGGGGAATGACAATTAACATTCAGAAATATTACTGATTTGACTGTTTTTGATTGATTGACTATCAGAGAACAAAAGACGGAACATTGTCTTTTCAGAATTGTTGAAATTTGCAAGTTATGTTATTTGCCTGAAGTAAAGGTCTGCACAGGCTTTAAACTTAAGCCCAAACCCGGCCCATACCCGAAATCATTTAACCTGACCTGAACATTACGGTTATACTTTAAGCCCAAGCTTGACCCTGAGGTCCGTTCCTCACAGTAAAAAGTTTTTTTTGTTTGTGTTTTTATGCAATAAGCTTTATTTTATGATTGCCTGCCACGATAATAATAACACCATTTCACCAAGGTACAGCAGCCCCTCTTCAGTCAGTTCACAAGAAAAAAAAAGAGAAAAAGCAGACTTACTAATTACAAAACTTTGATGTGGTTGAACAGGTGAAATAAACATTAAACTTCAAAACAAAGTTTGCACAGTTATATTTACACAAATATAGCCTAGCCTTCTCAGTATGAGTTATGAAGGAAGAAAACAGCATCGACAGTTGATGTTTCAGCGTCCTCTGATTGCGGTGTTGTGACTGAAATCGCGAGCGTAGGACCACATGCACAAATAAGTTTTGTAAAATGATATATGATCATAAAAATCATAAAAAGGATTCATATATAATTTTACAAGCAGCCAAGCACACGGCACGCAAACATATATACTGCAAAATAATCATCATCAAAAAACGTTTTTATTTTTCCTCACCAGAATCACCTCCCATGACATTAGTCATGTTCTTCTGTTAAGTGTAGTAATTGTCCAAAAAAAAAAAAAAACACAGACTCTAATTAAATGACTCTTTGGGGACTCGAGTGACACACACACTCCGATTAAATGACTCTTTGGGGACTCGAGTGACACACACACTCCGATTAAATGACTCTTTGGGGACTCGAGTGACACACACACTCCGATTAAATGACTCTTTGGGGACTCGAGTGACACACACACTCCGATTAAATGACTCTTTGGGGACTCGAGTGACACACACACTCCGATTAAATGACTCTTTGGGGACTCGAGTGACACACACACTCCGATTAAATGACTCTTTGGGGACTCGAGTGACACACACACTCCGATTAAATGACTCTTTGGGGACTCGCGAGACACACACACTCCGATTAAATGACTCTTTGGGGACTCGAGTGACACACACACTCCGATTAAATGACTCTTTGGGGACTCGCGAGACACACACACTCCGATTAAATGACTCTTTGGGGACTCGAGACACACACACTCCGATTAAATGACTCTTTGGGGACTCGAGCGACACACACACTCCCAATTGAATGACTCTTTGGGGACTCGCGAGACACACACACTCCGATTAAATGACTCTTTGGGGACTCGAGTGACACACACACACTCCGATTAAATGACTGTTTGGGGACTCGAGTGACACACACACTCCGATTAAATGACTCTTTGGGGACTCGAGTGACACACACACTCCCAATTGAATGACTCTTTGGGGACTCGAGTGACACACTCCGATTAAATGACTCTTTGGGGACTCGCGAGACACACACTCCGATTAAATGACTCTTTGGGGACTCGAGTGACACACACACTCCCAATTGAATGACTCTTTGGGGACTCGAGAGACACACACTCCGATTAAATGACTCTTTGGGGACTCGAGTGACACACACACTCCCAATTGAATGACTCTTTGGGGACTCGCGAGACACACACTCCGATTAAATGACTCTTTGGGGACTCGCGAGACACACACACTCCCAATTGAATGACTCTTTGGGGACTCGAGAGACACACAGTCCAATTAAATGACTCTTTAATATTAACAGATTTGAACACATTGTGTTGAAAGTACACATCGCAGTTAAAGACAGATATTCAAAAAGATTCAAAAGGAAATCAATTAAACAAAAATCAATTAACTTGGAGGTGGGAATGATTCTCAGTGTCCAACTCTGTACTTCCTCCATCCACCCTTCATCAAAATCTCACTACTTCCTCATTTACATTTACTCCTTTACAGTCACTCCTATCTCATTACCTTCTCTCCTCCCTCTTTTCATCCTCTTTACCTTCACTCCTCCCTCTTTCATCCTTTGCATTATCTGTGTTGGACATATGCTGTGGCTGGATGTAACCGATCGGTCAGAGTTGCCGTGTGGAGGCGGGAGGAGCTGAGAACTGAGACGCAAGTCTGACACTTTCTGCTTCCCGTAGTGACGCTCAGGCAGTGTTTGCATACTTTGAAATAAATGTATTATTTACCAAATACACAGATATTTCAGATATATTTTGATTTTGTACATTTGATTAATGTACTGCTTAATACAGCATCTGTTTGTACAAGAATAGAGTTCAACATAAGCCTAAATAGCAATGACGTAAATAAACATGACAATATAACATTGTGACTTTCATAACAGGGAAAGCTCTTTTTATGTAAACAGATTTGTGAGCATTAGTGGGACTGAAGGTGTGAGAATAAACACGTGATCACTGTCATGCCGTGGATTCGGCCAATCGAGGATCAATTGAGTCGTCATCAGAGCTTGTGAGTGTTCTTACCGTTATGCACTGCTCAAGCCAGCCGCTAATCAGTCTGTGCAGCGCTGTCCAACAAGTTAAACAAGCATAAACCACTCCTCCCTCTTTACATCCCCTTTACATTCTCTCCTCCCTCTTTACATTCTCTTTAAATTCTCTCCTCTCTCTTTTCATCCCCTTTACATTCTCTCCTCCCTCTTTAAATTCTCTCCTCCCTCTTTACATCCCCTTTACATTCTCTCCTCCCTCTTTACATTCTCTTTAAATTCTCTCCTCTCTCTTTACATTCTCTTTAAATTCTCTCCTCTCTCTTTTCATCCCCTTTACATTCTCTCCTCCCTCTTTACATTCTCTTTAAATTCTCTCCTCTCTCTTTACATTCTCTTTACATTCTCTCCTCCCTCTTTACATTCTCTTTAAATTCTCTCCTCTCTCTTTACATTCTCTTTACATTCTCTCCTCCCTCGTTTCATCCCTTTACATTCTCTCCTCCCTCTTTACATTCTCTTTACATTCTCTCCTCCCTCTTTACATTCTCTCCTCCCTCTTTACATTCTCTTTAAATTCTCTCCTCCCTCTTTACATTCTCTTTAAATTCTCTCCTCTCTCTTTTCATCCCCTTTACATTCTCTCCTCCCTCTTTTCATCCCCTTAACATTCTCTCCTCCCTCTTTACATTCTCTTCTCCCTCGTTTCATCCCCTTTACATTCTCTCCTCCTTCTTTAAATCATCTTTATATTCTCTATTCTTGCGATTCGAGAGCAGGACTCAGCCAGAGCAGTTTCTCCAGAGTGACTCACAAGCTCTGATGACGACTCAATTGATCCTCGATTGGCCGAATCCACGGCATGACAGTGATCACGTGTTTATTCTCACACCTTCAGTCCCACTAATGCTCACAAATCTGTTTTTCATAACAGGGAAAGCTCTTTTTATGTAGTCACAATGCTATATTGTCATGTTTATTTACGTCATTGCTATTTAGGCTTATGTTGAACTCTATTCTTGTACAAACAGATGCTGTATTAAGCAGTACATGTATTGAATCAAAAAGTCTTTGAAATATCTGTGTATTTGGCAAATAATGCATTTATTCCACTTCAGCTGTGGTAAAGTATGCAAACACTGCCTGAGCGTCTCTTAATTTTAATTTCTACACCTTTATCCTCATTTTCTTTTAATTTAGCTCAATTTCTAATAAAAAGAGCATAATGTGCAAAGCATTTGTGGCTCCCTACAAACCACCCTTTCTTTTAGGAGTCGTAATCCTGTTCTGCACATAATTTTTCACACCAGTGCATGTTTGCTGCTTTAAAGCTTCTGGCTCTGTGTCACTACGGCAAGCAGAAAGTGTCAGACTTACGTCTCAGTTCTCAGCTCCTCCCGCCTCCACACGGCGACACTTACCGATTGGTTACATCCAGCCACAGCACGTCTCCAACACAGCTATTCACTCTTCACTTTATCATCATAACATTCTCTCCTCCCTCTATAACAGAAATATCAAAAAGTTTAACATGACATTCCATCCAACTTCATTGCAACTGAACAAAGAAAACTGAATAATAAAAATCAACTATCCTCTACTTCTTCATTAGATTTCTTATACTCTAACTTTTCACTTTATATTTGGTTTCATTCCATCCTCAGAATATTTCTACACCTTTATCCTCATTTCTTTTAATTTAGCTCAATTTCTTATAAAAAGAGCATAATGTGCAAATTGTGTGTGGCTCCCTACAAACCACCCTTTCTTTTAGGAGTCGTGATCCTGTTCTGCACATAATTTTAACATATTCTTTACATTCTCTCCTTCCTCTATAACAGAAATATCAAAAAGTTTAACATGACATTCCATCCAACTTCATTGCAACTGAACAAAGAAAACTGAATAATGAAAATCGACTATCCTCTATTTCTTAGCTGTCTTATACTCTAACTTTTCACTTTATATTTGGCTTCAATCCATCCTCAGAATATTTCTAAACCTTTATCCTCATTTCTTTTAATTTAGCACAATTTATTAAAAAAAGTGCATAATGTGCAAAGTGTTGAAGTGTTTTGTGGCTCCCTACAAACCACCCTTTCTTTTAAGAGTCGTGATCCTGTTCCGCACATAATTTTTCACACCAGTCCATGTTCTCTGCTTCAAAGCTTCTGGCTCTGCGTGAATGCATCTTTCACAGTCTTGCTTACCAGGAACTTTGCATGTCTTGATGAACTTCATCATGTGTCTCTCAACAGCTTTTACCTCACTGTCCTCCCATTTCTTTTTTGGAGCGTTAGAAGAACCTATGAAATAGTTAAAAAGTAAATTCTCATTACACATTCTCATTACAACTAAATCGTGAGTAAAGACCAAATCAAGATTTGTGTCCTAATGTGTTTATTATTTGAATTATAGTTTGTGTAGTTTGGAGATTTTTCTTACCTTGATCCACCTCTGAAACAGATTGATTAGATGGAACAGGTTGATCAGTCTCTGCTGGTGCTGTTGTCTGAGATAGGTCAGTGTAGTCCTCCTCATCACTTGACATGGAATCACCTTGAGCCTCAAGTTGCTCTAAATAATTCATTGACAAAAACATTAACACTATATTGCTTATAGTTACCATCTGTGACATGATTATATAGATTGTTTTGCAAATATGTACAGCACAGATACACACAGACAGGCCAAGTAAACTCATACCATTTGGGTCGATTTCAATGTCATCAAGTTTCTTTCCTTTGTAGTCAGACAGTGTTCCTTTCTCCATGGCCATTAGGACTTTACTCATTTTTGCCAGCTGCAGTGTTCCCTCTGGTAACCGGTAATACTGTCTGTGAATTCTGATATCGTGACCAAGGAAATCAGCCAGTTGGTCTGCTTCATTCTCATCAAGGTTAAGAATTTTAGACATGGTTGCTATGTGTTTCCTGAGCCTAGTTGATGACAGTGCTTCAGGGTTCTTTATGCCACATTCACAAGCAGCTTTGTTGATGCACTCTCCACCTCTGTAGGCTGACATTGCTCCACATCTGGCAAACATAAAGGGATTCTCTGCTGGAACACCACAAAGCTCCCGTGTTTCAATAAGCAGCTCCATGGCAGAAACCATGGAAGGCTTGAGGAGCACAGGAACCTTTCTGCCTCGTTTACCCCGGATCTCAACTCTTGTGAAGTGCAGACACAGCTTCCTCTCAAACTCAGACAGACAGATGGCAATGTCTTCGTGTAGCTCAGAAGAGTCCCTACTTTTAAAAGCTGACAAAAGCATCCGGGATACCTCACCTTCTCTCCTTCGGTTGAACAGGATGACCTGGGACAGTGTGACCTTGGCTAGAGCAGCGTAGCTGTCAGCAGAAGGGCAAGTTTTGAGCTTACTTAGGAGCCCATTGTGTTTCTTTTCAAGATGTGCGTGCAGGACTTTTACATCCTGAGTGAAAGGAATGGTCTGTGGTGTGTTCCACTTAGCTTCTTTCAATGTAGTTATAGCACCAGCAGAAATGTACTCATTCCACCTTGCCTGGTGTATTTTCCTGAAGTCTCGGGCACACTCAGCACGATCATGATCTCCATACATCATGGCATTGCTCTCAACAATGCTACAGATCTTGTTTAAAGAATGCCCAAGTTTGAGAGCTAAAGAAGGAATGCGGTAGGAGTGTTTCTCTTCATCGTAACCAGATACAACTTTAACAGCTGCTATGACATGTTTGAAGTTTGCTGGTATGAAGAAGTCTACCATTGTTCTCAGTGGGGTAATCTTCCTTGCTTCAAGAAGAAGTCTACCTACTTCCCTCATCTTCTGTCTGATATAGTCATGTTTGGTCACATCAGACCCCATCCTGTTGAACATGTGCTCCCCCAGCTGCATGATGCAGATGTCAGTATGAACTACACGCGAAACTTCATCATAGTTCATAAAAGACAGTATTTTCTTGAAACCTTTGCTTACTTCTAAGCCAACTGGTGTGTTTAAAGCACACAGAGATCGAACTCTTTTCCGGCCCTGGGAATCATCCTCTTTAGGCTTCAGGGGACAGTTTTTGATATGTTTCCAAAGGCTACGCTTGTTATAAAGCCCTTGGCAGTAAATGCAGTGAATAAACTCTTTGGCTCTTTGTCTATTTTTTGGACGGTAGCAGGCAATCATCTCTCCATGTCCTTGTCTCACCACATCTGTGTTGTGGGCAAAGTTGCCCCTTTTTCTAAGGAGGTTTAACTGGACTCGTCTTTCTTTGGAGTGTTTTGGAAATGCCACTGCCTTTACAACTGCCACTTCATTGCGATGGACAAATTCAAGGTGTCTTGCCATTTTTGAATATGGCTTAGAGCAATAAAGGCAATACTGCTTCTTGTTGTACGCCTTGCGTTCCTGCTTTGGTGATGGCATTGACTGAATAAAAGTCTTACCTTCAGACAAGGTATTTGTCTCTTTAGATTGGCATTTCATCTTTTTTGGTGATGATGCAGTCATAAATTGATCAGATGAACTACCTGCCTTGTTGGGAGATGTTGGATGTATCAAAGCACTTTTGACCATTTCATGTCCAGAAGAACTACCATCCGATTCATCTGAGCTGATTTTTGGCATGTAGTCAACATCGCTGTAGTCTGTGACATCGCTGTAGTCTGTGTCACTGACAGAACTTCCTGAATACTGAATGAGAGAATTTAACACTTACTCAAGGCAGTGGTTGCTGTAATGTTACGTTTCATCGTATTGCGGATACTATTATGCAAGTAAAAAATTGCACACAAAGTATCACATGGCAAGTCACATACCTGTCTTTTTCTTGGTGGCCTTAAAGAGGATGTCTGGAAAAGGATGTATACAAACAAATATAAGTCATATTTTCATAATCTAAAAAACTATTTCATATAATCTATTGTTAGTTCTACCAGTGCAGTGCACCCTAACCATCCCAATAATTCAGCAAATGAATCAACCAACCTCCCATGAGAGCGTCTCAGACACCTGTGATGGGTGAATCACCGGTGTTGACGCAGCAAAAGGTGATGATAAGGGTGGAGCCGGCGAGGATGATGAAGAATGCACAGGCGAGGGCGAGGATGAAGAAGGCTGCACAGGTGATGATGAAGAAGGCTGCACAGGTGATGATGAAGAAGGCTGCCCAGGTGAGGATGATGAAGGCTGCACAGGCGAGGGCGAGGATGATGATGAAGGCTGCCCAGGTGAGGATTTTGAAGGCTCCACAGGCGAGGGCGAGGATGATGATGAAGGCTGCACAGGTGAGGATGATGAAGGCTGCCCAGGTGAGGATTTTGAAGGCTCCACAGGCGAGGGCGAGGATGATGATGAAGGCTGCACAGGTGAGGATGATGAAGGCTGCCCAGGTGAGGATTTTGAAGGCTGCACAGGCGATGCTGAAGGTGACTTGGGTGGCGCGGGAGGTGTTGATGCTGAGGAGGACAGGGCAGGGGGGCATGAGGTTGATGAGGCCATTATAGAGGTGGACACAGCGCAGGGTGCATCAGATGTGGACACAATTGAGGATGACTGTGACCGTCTTGATTGAAACCACTTCTGCAGATATATAGAAGTATTTAGCTTAAACAAGAATAAAATGTACATAAAAAATAACCCTAACAACCCTAAACCCTAACCCTAACCCTAACCCTAACCCTAACAAACACACCATAGGGGTTAACAAAAAACAAAGAAATGTGTTTTGCACATTTCAAAGCAAAGATCATTAATAAAAAAAAATCTAAACAAAATTGTGACAATAGTCAAATTAATAGTTACATTGGTTCAGACATTAAAACTCTTAACCAGTAACTACTTAAATGATTAGTTCACTTCAGAATTAATTTCCTGATAATTTACTCGCCATCACACCATCTAAAATGTTCATGTCTTTCTTTCTTCAGTGGAAAGAATTGAAGGTTTTTGAGGCAAACACTCCAGGATTTCTCCATATACTGTCTTCAATGGGGTCCAACGGGTCAAAGGTCAGATGTGAGTTTCAGTGCAGCTTCAAAGTCTCGACACAATCCAGCCAAGGAATGAGAGTCTGATCTAGACAAACCAGCGACATTTATAACAAAATACACATTTATATACTTTTAACCACTAATGCTGGTCTTCCTCTAGCTGTGATGCAACACACATTACATGATCAGGGTGAAAGGTCACACGGAAGGTAGGCAGAAGTACTGACCCAGTGTTTACAGAGTGAACAGGCAAAGACTAAGTCTAACATCATTCCAAAAACTATGTCTGATGATTTTGAAGTTGGAGGAGAAAACTAGAGTTTTTGTAGTGCATTGAGCTAGTGCAAGAAAAGCATTTGGGGTATAAAAGTATATAAATGTTTATTTTGTTATAAAATGTCGCTGGTTTGTCTAGATAAGACTCTTTTTCCTCGGCTGAATCGTGTCGAAGAGGGATGCACCGAAATGAAAATTCTTGGCCGAAACCGAAAACCGAAAAAGAGGATACCAAGGCCGAAAACCGAAAACCGAAACACCGAAAGAATTATTAGTATCATTGCATTTATGGCTATGACTGTGTACAAACTTTACTAAAATCAAGGCATTGCAATTGCATAAATTAATATCACATTTTCAAAGAATAAATCAATTACAAATTATGCAAATATTTATTTAGCACAATGCACAGTATAAAATAAAATTCAAACTAAAATGTTTAACTTGACCCCACTCATGTGTACATTAAATAATAATCTACTGGCCTGCAGAAAGGTTTTAAAATGAAACGTTCTCTCAAAAACAAAGCCGAGCGCAAACTTCTCATCAAACCAGCACCCAGTTTGCACGTCTAAATTAGTTTCATTTTTAAAATTTGGCATACAATAGCATAAAAAGCCTTTTTAAATGAACAATGGTCCATGTTTAATACAAATGTACATGAAACTTAATGAAACATGTTTAGTGAATGTATTTAAATATTTAAGAGAGCATTAATTTAGTTTTATACATACATATACATAGTTCCCAATTCTATATACATATTTATTGTAATGTCACAAGTAATAATCTCAGGGTTTACTGGGTTTTACATGATTATTTTTGTATTGGTGGTGGAATACCCTACTAAAAAATAAGCATTACCATGCGTTTATCTTTCTTCTTCTCACCGATTCCTGATGGTTAGAGGACAGTTACTTGAGTCGTCCCCTGTCGTTTCAAGGAATAGTAAAACGGAGAGCGCGTCAAGTATAAACGCCTCGACCGTTTGGAGCGGTGCGCGCGCTGTCTGTGGAGACTCGACTCCACAGACAGCGCGCGCACCGCTCTTGACCCGCTCGCAACCGGAATCGTCGTCATGGCGGCGCGCGTTGTTTAGAGCAAATATAGGTGGATAAACAAGGCTTCCGTCTCCTCGCGGGTTCAGATACACTGAAATACGTCCGCACCGCAGAAATGTTGCTTCAGACAAGCACGTGCAGGTCGCGGTTTCTGTTTGCGTCATCACAACATTTCGGCCGTATTGTTTCGGTGATAAAAGTCTTTCGGCCGAAAACCGAAAATGCACTTTTGGGCCATTTTCGGCCGAAAATTTTCGGCGGCCGAATATTCGGTGCATCCCTAGTGTCGAGACTTTGAAGCTGCACTGAACCTCACATCTGGACCTTCGACCCGTTGGACCCCATTGAAGTCACTATTGACCGAGCATTAAAGGTAAAGGTAATGGTCATGAAGTTTTCGGACAACGTGCACTACGCAGTTTAACCACACCGGCCCAAACTGAGCCCATTGCCTGTTTCTGAGGGAGTGGTTTCATAGAATCAGGATGTAAACCGGTCGTTCAAATGACAAAGGAGAACGTGGCTTACAATAAAGGTGAAACTGATGAAAAAGAAGACTCTTGATTTAAGGCTTCAGAAATAAGAGACCACAATCACATGGTAACTAATCAGAATGACAATTAAAAGATTATCATGAATTATTATTGATCAATCTCTTTAGAATTTTCTTAAAAGTACCTTGTCTCGCCATGGCCAATCTGAGTTGCCATAATCATAAGTGATTTCTTCTCCTGGTAGAATGTCTCGTACAGCAAAGAGACACAAGTGAGGTTTTCCGCTCACTTCCACAGTTCTCATTTTGCAAGTCGGATCTTTGGTCTCATCATTAACGAGTCTTCCCAAAGAGAACCCATCTTCTTTAGATGCATCCATGCTATAAACACATAAAATTTTCACTCAATACTTGTAATCTTAGTATATATGCTAAAAATGTAGTTATTTTCTAGAAGTGGATCTGAACCCCAGTCCTGGGAACCCACCACTCTGCATATGCTGTATGTCTTGTCTTTTAATCCACCTGATTCAGATGAGGAGTTTGTCATCAGAACATGGCTCTTTAAACTCAACTAAGTGTGTCAGGAGAAGGAGACATACAGAATCTCCAGAGGGTGTTTGAGAACCACTAATCTATATTATAGTTAGGGATGTAATGATTCACTCTCAACCGGTTGAAAATCAATAAAAATGTGTGACGATTCAAGTAGGTTGAAATGTTAAACGAATCGCGATACACGTTTTAAACAGAAGGTCACTGCTATTGTGCCTGTAAAGCGAGGTTCACAGTAGGCAATACAGTAAACAACCCTGCAACTACATAGCCTACTGTGATGTTGTGAACCTCGCTTTACAGGCACAATAGCAGCAAGCACACACTGGCCCGAAGCTAGTGAGTGTTTTCACTCATGGAACTTGAGCTTGTGTGAGACAAGCGCAACTTCCATTGGAATTT